ACCCTATTGACCCTTGCTGGAAGTGTCTGACGTATTAGGCTTCTTATCCTGTCCTACTGCTGCCTGAGCCTGCTCGGGCTTCCGCTTCGTGCGGGATTCCAACTCCATTTCCCGTTTCCGGGCCTTCTCCACCATTTCATTTAGGGTCTTGCACCCCGTAAAGCTCACAAACTCCCGACCATCGTCCCTCAGCATGGAATGATATCGGGTCCGCCTCATCTCCTCATCGGTAGCGTATTGCGGAATCAACAAAGCTCGTTCCCGAAACTTGGCGGTGATCTCAGCCACCGTCTCGGTAGTCTGCTGTAAGTCATGAAACTCCCTTACTAGCCTTTGCACCTCAATAGGTGGTGCAAACTCTGCATCAAATCACCGAACGAACTTGGCCCACGTCATTTCCGCCACTCCGACTGATCCCACCTAGCGAGTAACCTCGCCCCACCAATCCCGTGCCCTATCCCTCGACATACATGAAGCAAAACCAACATTTGCCGCATCCGGGCAGGAACTCGTGCGTTGGGCGTTTTCAATATCTGCCACCCAGCGTCGGCTGACAATGGGGTCCCTGACCCCGAAGAACTCCGGCGCCCCACACGCCTTGAACTCCCGAAACGAGGGAGTTCGGGCCCCCAACTGGCCCGCAACAATCTCAGCCCTGAATGATCTGAGTTTCTCCTCCATGATCTCCATGATGCCCTCCTTGACCGTCCCAAAAATGGTTGGGGTAGCGTCAAGGATGCCCCTGGTAACCTCGGCTGCAATAAGCTCGCGCAGCCTCTCGTCTATGCCGTCTATAGTGTCACCCGATCCATTCCCGGATCCGGATCCCGATCCTGATCCTCCCGCTCCGAAACGTGTCACTACCATGCTGAACTGGAATGTCATAAATCATAACGATCAGGATTTCCATAAAACGGATCTCTCCACATCGTTCCTCCTTGAAGTCGTCATATCTAACATTGGTTCGGGTACAGGTCCTGTGCTTTAAGTAGTACGGGCCCAATACTACCTTCCACACCTACCTGTACCTTTCCCCAATACTCTACCTGATAACCCCCAATTCGTCTCAAAACCACACCATATTCCACAGACTATCGCATACATCAATCTCAGGCTGTCCTAAGATTTGCTCTACTTATATCAATCAGACCAATCATAACAGGTTGCCTTTATGCATGCAAATTATACACAGAAGAGGATCAAATAGACTTTCGAATAAAAGATTCTACCTAGGACCACAACCAGACAAGGAACAGGAAATAAGGCCAAATCGATCATTCTAAGGCTATAAGCTCCTAACCGTATATAATTTTAAAAGCATACACATGGCAAATTCCATACGATCATCCAAGTTCAAATATCAGAATAACATGGCAAGCACATTGGGGAACTACTTACTTGGCTCGGCTGATCACGCGCGTTGCACTCTCATCTTTTCCTTCTTTCAAAAGCTTTTTATGTCATTTTTGAAAACAAATTTACCATTTCCTTAGTTTGAGTCCTGACACACCCGAGAGTATGCATGAATCCCTCAAACCAAGGCTCTGATACCAACTTGTAACGACCCAAATTTTACAAAGAAAATTTTCATTTTTAATTAGTCAACCATATTTCAAAAAACATGAAAATCCCAATAATTATATTCAAAACCACCAGCATTACAACATTATTATTTTCAAAACATCAGAGTGACCCCCAAACCATATCAGAAAAGAGAGATAGAGTGCACGCCGCATCATCATGCCTTGCCTTTGCCCTTGGGCTCCGATGTACCTGCAACAAATCCACAGACGGTAAGTTGAAAGCTTAGTGAGTCCCCCAGAGCATACCCCACATAAACCACATATCACATTAGCTATAAAGGTTATCTCTACCACATATCACACGTCAATTAGCTATGAATCTATCTCTACCGTTAGCCACAAGGGCTATCTCTACTGTTAGCCACAAGGCTATCTCTACCATCAGCCATAAAGGTTGTCTCTACCATCAGCCATAAAGGGCTATCTCTACCACATATCATGCATACATACATATCACACCTCTACATAGCAAGTAAACCAACTAACATAAAACGGGCCGGCCTTGGTGCCTTAGACCCATTGGTATGGTGAGAAGACTCACCTCACAAAGCTGAACCGGCAACTGAATTCAGGTATGTCCTACGCTGCTCCTCCCAAACTGCCTATAACCAACAAGTAAATAATATTAACTCAGCCCCTAAGGCTCCTCCGAGTCAAACCTGGTCAAAGTCTAGGTCTATAGTCAAGGTCGACAGTCCATATTGACCTTGACTCGTCGAGTGCAATCAGCCACTCATCAGGTTCCCTGCTTAACTCATCGACTCGCCGAGTCATCCGAGAGACTCGTCGAGTTCCTTGATGTTTACGACCGTAAACTCCCAACCGAACACTCTTGACCGTGAACCCTTGGCCGTGAACCTTTGGCCGTGAACGAGGAAACCCTCTCGACTCGCCGAGTCTCTTGCACGACTCGCCGAGTCCCCTTAGTCCTATATGTTTACGGCCGTTTCCAGTGGGACTCAAGGTCCCAAACTTCAGATCTATCCTCTACTAGTGTAGATAACACGTAAAGTTGCAAACTTTACGTGCATGCAAGGCCTCACATGGCCATAACACCAAGACTAACCTTCAAACCAGGTTTTCATGCTTGGAGAGGTAATAAGCTTAATAAAAGGTGCAACTTTATGATATTTGGGACCTAAGGAGGTCCAGATCTGGAATCATATCCTTGTGATAGGTCCATATCTAATTTTGCTTCCATCTCCTCAAGGTTGGCCATAACCTCCACAAAGAAATCAAAGCTTAAGGTAGCAGATTAATACCTCAGACAGATGCCCAACACGAAATAGATGCTTGATCTAATACTTCTCCCTTGATACTTCCTCTTCAAACTTGGAATCCTCCCCAAAATCTAAAAGATAAGCTCCCAATTGTTCTTACTTCACACACAAGAGGGTTTGCGGCCGTGAACGTTCTTCTATGGTGTTAAGGGAGGCTACTAGGGTTTATAATGATGTTTATATAGGGGGCAAACCCCGAAACTAGGGTTTTCTCTAAACAGCTCTGACTCGTCGAGTCGGGCCTTCTGACTCGCCGAGTCAATTCCGACCCGCGTCCAAGATATCACGACCCTACTCGACGAGTTGATCTCCCAACTCGCCGAGGCCATGCATAAATCCTCCCCAAATTGGCAACTTCCCTCCAATACCCGAACCAGGTGTTACATTACTTGTCTGGTACCAGAATATGAGAACGTTTCCTGCGTTATTGTCTGCCATATCGTGGAACCATGTTCTTCGATTCCAATAACATAATCTTCGAAGTGAAGATCCCAGACCTCATAGTCCTCTGGGAAAAGAATTGGAATCCTTGTCGTGGATCCAATGCTGCTGGAGAGATTGAACGAAAGAGCGTGAGGATCTTCGTTAGGCATATTATCGAGAATTCATTGAAACATATATAGAACTAGATGTGTAAAACGTGAATCGAGTTTAAGGGAAAAACTAGAGATCTAGATCTGGAATCTACAATCGATTAAGACGATTAAGACAACAAGAACATATCTGAGATAAAAGTAAAACCCTAATAAAACCCTATACTCGACAGAAGAATAGCGAATTAATTACATCATCTCCTGCTCTGATACCAATTGTAAAAACAATAAATAAGATCGATAGATTCTATATTAATGGCGTGAATTAAAGACAAGAAACAATGATCAAAAGTATGTCGAATGATTATATTTAAACAGCTCTAGAAGAGTTCTCTAAGATGGAACTTCTCTGTGAGAGCGTACAAACGACGTTTAGGGTTCAAAGACGTAACCCTAAAATGTTACATGCATGCACTATATATAAACTAGACTAGATACTGGATCCAAACATGGACATGCCCATTTCGGAATGAACAAACTATATAAGTACACATTTGACACAATACATTATAGACCTAACATACTTCATCAAACTCTAGAAAACAAATCAACAAAAGCTCCACTTATACCCTGAATCATAGGTCACAGTCTAACATTCATTGAAATCCAGAGATTGATGAACAAATATCACAATCAATGTAGTTCCAATGCACCTTGTTGCCCTTTGATCTCCACGAACTGGTCATGAATCTTTTTGAAGCTCATCCAATACCTGATAACATATCAAATTCCAAAAATCAATAATTGAAGCTCATTTCAAATGTCAATGAATAAAACACACACACACACACACATATATATATATATATATATATATATATATATATATATATATACTACTTATTATGCAAATTTTGGTCAAATGCTGAATTTTAAGAGGTACAACCCTTAAAGCATCATATACAACAAGTTTATGCAATCATATCCTATCCGGTCAAAATGATGAATCAGTCAACAACATTAAACCAATATTTCCTCAAGTTTAACCATTTGAAGTGGTCGAAATCAAATGAATCGGTTAGATCAAAGTTATATAGCATCTCAGACTTCTTGAATCAGTTGAATTGAGCAACTCCTTGGAGCATCCTCTCCTCCTTCCCCTATATGTTACGTCTCACCACCTTTATGTTTTCTCCATAAACTCTACACTCCACCGCCACCACCTATATCTCTGGATCCCTAAAATCAGGTTATACCCATCTTGCTCTTCCCCTCTCTCGATGCCTTCCACCTCACTGGCTACTTTCACCACCACTATTTACCACCGTCCCTCTCTCTCTCTATCTATCTCTCTCTCTCTCTATATATATATAGATATATATATATATATATATATATATATATATATATATATATATATATATATATATATATGATCTGGTGAGTTTTAAAGCAAACCTCCTCCCAAATACTTTCACATTCATTAACCTATTTCAATCTCTCTTCTCCATCTCTTCATAAACCCTAGCCGCAACACTCACCTTTATCTCTTTCTACGCACCACCTAAACGATGTCACCACCATAATCATCCCTCTTAATCTTTATGTTGGTCATATGGACGATGGGTCTCAGCAGGTCACTATCTCCATCTCACCATCGCCTTCAACTATCGTCTTCAACTGTCACCACCATCCACTGGTTTCGCATTCTCCATCACCACCATGTCTCCTTCTATTTCCTCTTTTACAGATCTGTAAGTAACCCTCACCACTGCACACTGGTTATTTGCTTATTTTTACTGTAGAAACATGAAAGAAACGCGAGAAATACACACGGGCATTTCATGGGTGCTTCATCTACATATGTTTACAGGTTCGTCATCTCTAGCACTCAAACCTCATATCTTGCATTATTTTGAAGGGCAGGCAAAAAGTTCTATTTTTGGTTATGATTTTTCATCGAATTTGAACCAACAGAAGGAGGATCTTGTCGATATTAAGGAACGCAAACTCATATTTTTATGCATTTCAACCAAGAGGAGGATGGATTAATAGTGATGAATCTAGATCCTGATTAACATGTGGTCGCCAAATGGAAAAGAATGAAAAACCATATTAGGTATGTGTAAAATTTTGAAGTTCTTTCTCTTTTTTACCAGTTTCACTGATGTGTGTGTTTTTTAAGATTTAGAGTGCATTAAATTTTGTAAGATCATGCATTATAGTGTTTCCATGAGAACCAGAACGATTTGTTTTGAAATATTTGATAATAACCTGGTCTTTATGCCTACAATGATGTTGATTATCAAAACCTTATTATGGATGCAGGGGAATGTTGTATGATATGTATTTATTGAGATAAGTTTGGTCTTTTTTGGGGCATTCACTTAACTTTGAGTAAAGGTGATGATATATTTCTTCTATTTTGGACCTTGATGTAGAGTAAGCTAATAACAAAATGATTATCTGGTGTATTTATGATTTAATATCGTTTTGTATATGTTTTAAAACTAAGATTTTGTTTAACAATTTCCATGTTTGAGAATTAGTTCACCATTTCTATTTTATGATTTCTTCATGTTGTTGTGGCCTGTGGGTTATTTCTAGGTTCATGATTTCTATGATTGAGAATTCGCTAACCATTGTGAGAATTCTAATCTGTTTAAATACTACTTGCATCATCTCTATAAATCTATTAAAAAATTTATTTGTACTTTTATTTCATCACATCATTATTAGTTATTGGTTTTTGTCTTTCTTTGAGTCCTTTGGTTTCTGTATATTACCTGACCATCATCATCCATTTCCATCTACACTAATCACAGTTATTTTGGTAACTTTGACAATTTTTATTTTCTATTTTTACTTCAGGGGCTCAGTGAATAACAAATGGAGAAGCAACTTTTGTATCTGCAAATTATATAAAGAAATAGAATAGAGAATGAAGCTGTAAATGTTCTTAGTCTACCCCTCAACAACTCCAATAGAAACAACATCAAAGACTACATGGGTCACGTAAGCATACCTAATTGCATTCAATGTAAATTCAGATATTTGATTTTAGACTTGATATCACTAGGCTTGATGCCAAGAACAAAGACCTATGTCAGTTAGATCCCCCTCTTTATGTTTTCTACGAACACATACACCCCATTAGGTTTAGACCGCGAGTTGTTTGATTTGATTTGGGGAGTTTTTAGAATAAACTTGAATCTTTTTAATCATATTTCCGAGTTTCTACAGGTTCTATATGTTTTAATCTGATTCAATATGAACGTAAGTCCCTTCATTTTTTTCTCTTACTATTTTTCTACTGAAATGACTATATCATACTTTTCTGGTATGATTTTTATGTTCTTATCAACTTATCTGTATGTGCACGTATTATGGTATTGATGATAATTGGATGGTATGTTTTGTAAATCACATATACCCGCTTCTATTGTAATAATTCTGTGAGAAACTGATTATTATTATTATTATTATTATTATTATTATTATTATTATTATTATTGTAGTTTTGTTCCGATTGGTGTTGGATTTCTTGGAATAGCTTATAAAACTAAGAAAATATATTGATTATTTGTTGTATTATTTTCTTTATAATTATCTAATTTGTTAAAAGACCATTTAGATTTGGTATTTAATGTTTGATTCTTATAGTTTGTGGAATTCTTGGTTCCACTCAGAATATACTCACTTACGTACACCCACCTATGAATATACTCATGTTTCTTAAAATAACATATTAAGCTTCTATTGTAACCAATTAGCTTTTATAGTAGATTGAACGAGAGAGTAAGAAAATAATTTTTTTCTTTGAAACAATTTAGATTTTAGAATATGTTTTTTTTAATAACATACTTTTGTTTTTTCGCATTTTGTTTGACTATTTCATCAGAATGTATTTAACATAATTTAATTATTGTAACATCCCCCTCTGACACGTATCACAATATTGTCCGCTTTGGGCTTCCGACACGAAAACTTCCCAGGGGGTCACCCATCCCTGGATTGCTCTCGCCCGAGCACGCTTAACTGCAGAATTCTTATGGGTTCTGCTGCCTTTACGGTTTTAAAACACGTTGTGACAAGGAAGGTATCCACACCCCTTATAAGGAGTGTTTAGTTCTCCTTCCAAGCCGATGTGGGATCAGGTGCAACCCACCTTCACCCCCCGACGTCCCTGTCGAATACATCGACCCGTGCCCTTGCTCTGATACCATTTGTAACATCCCTTCTGGCACGTATCACAATATTGTTCGCTGTCACACCTTCGAACCAGACGGCGGAAACGTCTGGGGGCTTGGATGACTTCATTTTTGTAGTATCATCACAGTGTATATAATTGAAACCAAACATCATCATCATGTAATATTACAACTGTCATTGTTTACATCAAGTATTGTATTTTAATATTACATGCCAAAATATCCAAATATAGTACTAACAAAACACAACAAAATATCCAGGTATTCTTGCTGACCAACCTGCTCAACGATTCCCTGAGAATACAAGTTAATTTAAAAAGGTCAACATATATAATGTTGGTGAGTTCATAAGCATGGTTTGAGTAAAATGTTTTGTATTGCTTTGTAAACACTAGAAAATCCAATATTTTCTGAAAACGGTTTGAAATGTTTGTGTCAGATCTTGTATTAATGCATGTGTGTTAATGTTTGTGAGTGGATGAAGTGAATAATTCCAGGCAACCCGATGTTGCCTGTTTATAAAAAGACGTTGTGATTTCATTACCCTAAAATTGAATACAAATGATGTGTGTGTTCCCGTATTATCGACATATGTTGTATTCCGTAAATTTTATAATGGTGTTAATTCCTCTAAGTGAGTCGTTATATGTAACATCATGTTTCAGATTGTGTGCGATTCAACACCCGTGAGCCGTAATCTGAATATGAGAAGGTTTCGAGATTTTGAAGGAGAAATGTTTAGGCATTCTTGGATATGGATAGGGTGTATAGTGTGAGAAAGGGGTTCGGATTGTGCTTTAGGTCCCAAGGGTATCGGCAAGTGTTGGTTTGGACTTTTCATGAATTTTGGATCTGAGTTCGAGTGGGCTCTAGGAGAAATAAAGTTGATACAAGTGTAGAACTTCTCGTTACCTTTTCGTGGATATAAAGTTCGTCGAAAACGGACATCGGGTGAGGAAGATATGACGTTTGGAAGTTTTTGGCATAAATGGTCCCTTAAGGAGAAAAGTTGGCATTGAAGGCCATGCATGTGAAATGGAAGCGCGTGGGTACGCCCAGCGTAAGGCTGGGTTACGCCCAACGTATAAGGGAAATGGTCGCGGGTGCTTCTTGGCATACGCCCAGCGTACAGGAGGTACGCCCAGCGTATGTCCAGGGCCCAGAAACCCTAAATTTAGGGTGTGCCACTATATAAAGAACATATTGGTTCTAACCCTAGCCTCCTTATCTGCTCCCTTACCCTCAGAAAACCCTAGAACGCCCCATCCCTTCATTCTTGAGTGATTTTCTCCATATGAAGCTCATTTGGTGGTGTAAGCTTGGAAGAAGAAGTTGGCAAGGAAGAACTTGGGAGTTTGGAGCTCATAAATCTGGAATGTCATCATCATTTGGAGCTCTTCTGAGGTTTGGCACAGAGTTAGAGGCCGGTGCGTAGCGGCAGCATTACTAGAGGTTGTTCATCATACGAGGTGAGTCTTCTCACTATACCTTACCTAGAGTGGTAATTATATGTGACCGGGAGGTCGTATGTGCTTAGGTGTGATATGTGATATATGTTTTATGTCATATACTATGCTATGAGTTGCCTGGTTCGGACCGGAAGGTCGACAGGGCTTGGACCGGAAGGTCAATGGAGTTGGGCCGGAAGGCAACGGAGTTGGACCGGAAGGCAACAGAGTTGGGCCGGAAGGTCAACAGAGTAGGATCGAAAGGTCAAGACCGGAAGGTCATCAGGGTAGGGCCGGAAGGTCTACCCGAGTTGTGGAGCCGGAAGGTCCACTGAGACACATTGGACGGAAGGCATCATAGATCTATAGCCTCGAGTGGCTAATTTATATGTATGTGATATTTTGGGGAAATCACTAAGCTTCGTGCTTACCGTGTTATATGTTATGTGTTTCAGGTTCTTATCAGGATCGCGGGAAGGCGGCGGTTCGATTGTACACACACAAGAGAAAAGAGTCATGAACGAGGATCCTAGATTTGAATAATTACTTTTGAAAACTATTTTGAAATATGTTATGACATCAACACTTGAGATTTTGAAATTATTATATGTGATTATGAGTTTTAAAATTAAAAATGTTGTTTGAAAATTTACGTTGTTACATTATAACCATACTTAATAATAACAAATTCGCCTGTCATGACGTTCCATGGGACACCGACGGGTTTATGGTAAGGGTTGTCACCCTAGACTGGCCTAGTCTAACTGTAGCGAACAGCTCAGGTGTGGGGTGTCACCCCCGTATAGATCTGTACACAAACTCTCACTCTCCCTCCAGGAGACACTGATTATAACTACAGGCTACGGTTGTACACGCAATAGGTGCCAAACGAAATGTCTCACAAGATCCTTAACCAAATTTACACGAATATGAAGTTGCACAGAGTATATTGTTTTCGTGTAAGTATTTAGTTTTCAAAGCCCAACGTGTACGTTTGTGAATGTGTGAAGTTCAAGCATGTCGATGGACCACGAAGGCCCAATAAACATGTAAGGTGTATTCTAGGCCCAATTAAACATGAAAAAAAAAGACAACTAAGGCCCATTAAACATGTACTTTATATTCCAGGCCCAATAAGCATGCAAAGTGTATTCCAGGCCCAATAAGCATGAGAGTGACGTAATTTATTAGTATAGCCGAGAATGAGGGGGGAGGAAAAGAAAAGGGATAGGTTTGGGCCTTGTTTGCTTATTTTCGAAATTATGAGGCCCAAGTTGAAGGTTTTCGGCCCATTGGGCCCATATGAGGGTTTACGGCCCAAAAGTGACAAGGAAAGGGAGTTTACAGCCCATAAAGGTTCAAGAAAGCATTCACGGCCCATTAAGGCCCATGACAACAAAGTGAGACATTTTAGGCCCAATAAGGCCCATGAGAAGTCTTATGGCCCAAAATGCTATTGTTTAATGAATGTGGGTCTATTTAAGGCCCAAATAGGGTTCCTTGACCCAAAATAACCAAATTGAAAGTTTACTGGCCCATTAGGCCCAATAAGAGGATCCTGGTCCATTCTAAGTTTGAACCGGGATATTAGGGTTTCAAACCCATAGTTGAGTATATGAGATGCATCGAATTAGGTTTTGAACTTCAATCATGAGTTTTGATTCAAATGGTTGATTTTGAATGAGCATAGTACATGACATCAACTTAGATTACAAGTTATACAAGAGTTGATTACATGAATACATAATTTCCTTGGCAAAAATGCTAGTTGTGACATCATCCCCCCGTTAGAGGGAATTTTGTCCTGAAATTCTTTTGAAAGATATAATTATGAACGAGAGAATAGGTGAGGGTACTTCTGTTTCATCTGGTCTTTGTGTTCCCATGTGAATTTCGGTCCACGCTTAGCGTTCCATCGAACCTTCACAATCGGAATGCGACTATGTTTTGTGCGCTTCACTTCCCTATCCATTATCTCAACTAGTTCTTCGATGAACAGGAGATTCTCGTTTACTTCAATCTCTTCCAGAGGAATGACAAGGGTTTCATCTGATAAGCACTTTTTCAGGTTCGAGGCGTGGAACACGGGGTGTACGTTGCTGAGCTCCACAGCTAGCTGCAGCTTATAAGCCACCGGACCAATCCGGGCAAGAATCTCGAATGGCCCGATGTATCGCGGATTTAGTTTTCCCCGCTTCCCAAAACGGATCATCCCTTTCCAGGGAGAGACCTTCAATAGCACCCGATCTCCTACTTGAAATTCCAGGGGTTTCCGTCATTTATCAGCATAGCTCTTTTGTCGGTCACGCGATGCTTGAAGTCGTGTCTTGATTTGGATTATTTTCTTTGTCGTTTCCCGAATGATCTCAGGTCCTGTAAGAGTGTCAGTTGGTATTTGTCCTTTCGCCAGCTGGGTGTCACCCACCTCAGCCCAGCAGAGAGGCGATCTGCATTTGCGACCATACAAAGCCTCGAAAGGAGCAACCTTTATGCTCGTGTGGTAGCTGTTATTGTACGAGAACTCAATTAAAGGCAAGTGGGTATCCCATGATTTGCCAAAATCGATCACACAGGCTCGGAGCATATCTTCGAGTGCTTGGATCGTTCTCTCACTTTGGCCATCGGTTTGCGGGTCGTAAGCAGTGCTCATGTCTAGTTGTGTTCCCATTGACTTCTGGAGCGACTGCCAAAATCATGAAGTAAATCTACTATCCCGATCCGAGATAATAGATATTGGTACTCCATGAAGTCTCACGATCTCTTTTATATAGATTCGTGTTAATCTTTCCATCTTGTACGAT